CCAGAAAGGAAGCACCGAGACCTTAGGTCTAGAAAAGCACGAGTAAGGCCACTGAAATCAATATAATTTCTCCTAGTGATTTGCTGGTGGCTTGAGGTCCTAAATTGTGACAGGAGCCATCCAAAACCATCTATTTTGATGTAAATATGTGTATTACACATTGCTATGTTTATACTTCAGTTTTCTGTCAGATTTTAAGCTCTTCTAATAACTCCTGAAGTGTAAGAGACAGGTATAAATGACCTGTAATTGAGTGTCGTTTGTCTGACAGGGGAAGTTAATAACGTTAGTCTTTGAGGGAACTATAGCAAGAAACATAAATAGGAGCAGAACACTGTGTTCCTTCGGCAGTGTCTTGCACTAATCCTAATACGTGAGCAACCTACCAACACGGCGTTATCAGATCAAAATGGCCAGCCAATAATAAATCAGCCCTGGCATTAGCAAGGTTCTTGCTGTACAACAATGTGACCTCCACTCTGGAAGAGACTTTATATTTTGTCAGAGATGTTTGCATTTGGTAAAAAGCAAGTTGCAGCAGTACTTGGTAGATGTGCAGCACGGGTCAAAAAAAGAAAGGGTGACATGGGGAAGGTGTAAATTCAGAGCATGTATTGATGAGTTATCTTCCAGCTACCCGGAACAGCTGCAGGGGCCACTAAGTGTTTCCAAAACACAGCAGAATTGGGCAGACAGCAGATGCTCGGTGGCATGTGGGTTATAGCTCAGAGCTGGACATTATTGATTGCAAATGGCTCACTCACTGCTGGCATACAGGGGCAAAAGTAAACCTCTCTGTGCAAACGTGTAATACTTGAAAAACTGAATGTAGGTATATAATGAAACCTGCTTTCAAAGTTACTGGCATTTCCATCTACAGGAAAAAATGTCTTTTCATCTTAAAAACTATTTGAGAATAACAGTCAGTGCAAAAACCCCAGTATAATATATGAGACTATAATTTGCCCCCTTTGAAATGTGCTGGATGTGGAAGAGCAAAGTTCAGTATTCTTTTATTTATAGACGTCTTGGTGGCACTGGGTGTTTTTTTTGTGACTATGTTCCTGCATGCTATCAACATCCATCAATGCATTTCAGATAGATCCCAAACCAGAAGCTTTAGGGTTTTTCCATTCCCTCCCCTGCATTTTCCAAACCTTTGTAATCCCAGTCACAGACTGTACCAAAAGTCATGATGGGTGGATAAAGCATTAACAAGAGTATCAAGAGGTACTGTTTCTATTGAAAAAATAAGAAGTATTTGGTTCAAAGTTATTGGTTTGATTTAAACTGTTTTGAAGTCAATTGTGAGAATCTACTGACCCTACTGCAAGATGAATTATTCCAAGAGATCCAGCACAAACATTCAGAGCTACTTAGCTAGAAGTAGCAGGGTATCTCAAAACCAAAAAACCACACTAAAGGCACATATTTACTGTTTGTGTACTAAGCACAAAGAGAAGGGCACAGAGCACGCCAGGAGAGAGATAAGGTAACTTCTATTTTATGCCATCAAATCGTGTCTGACAACACGGTGTATCTATTTGTGAACAGTGTAAATGAGCCTGAACCACATGGGAAAGTGAATAAGAAGGGACCTGTGCTGTTGGATGTACAGCTGATGGCAGAGGATGTGCCCTGTACTTTCTGTACTGTACAAAGCAGGAAGGAAGGGCAGGTTGCATGATGGCAGTACCAAGCCATCAGGATTTCCTCCCTGAGAATTTCTGGTGAATGTCAGAGAGCATTGTGCATTACACTGATAGATATTGCATCAGTGCATAAATTATGCATGTACATCTGTGTCAGAAGAACGTAATCACGGGTCCAAAACTGGGCATGCAAAAAGAAACGCTTGAACTGTGATTGCTTGTAAAACTTTGCTTAGTCTTCCCCGAGTAAATACATCAAGACATGATCTTTAAATCTAGAATTTAAGTACTGCTTTGATTTCCAAAGACATTTGAAATGCGCACTGCTGCCCAAGTTTGGGCACAGCTGTGGCCAGCTCCTACCCCCATCTCTGTGCAGATCATTCACAGGTAGGTGACATATGAAATCCGCATGGAACTGGTATTTTTTGGTGCCCTTGTGCATTCTCTAGTTTCTGTACAGCTTTGCTGTTGCACAGAATGTCTATAAACATAACCCACGGTCACCTTTTGTACTTTCTCATTTTCTCCCCAAACAAGAATGGTCTGGTCTGGACTTTGCAGTAATCTCTGATGTACGAGCAGTCTATCTCCAGTGATGCAGGGAAGGAGTCACAACCTCAGCCAGCGATCCGAGCTTGCTGGCAGGAGGAGGTGTGGGGCTCTGCCCTATATTTGAAGGCAAAGTGCAAAACTTCACACAGACCAAAGGGACTCAAGTATTCACTTGACAGATGCAGAAATCTGCAGTTGCAGAACAGTTTCAGAGCCAGAGCACCCAAAACAAAACCTGTGTTTCCCTAGAGTAGGATCTGGCTGGTGATGGAAATGTCCTTCTGCCTTCCTATGCTTGCAGCACTTCTCTCTGTCTGTGTGTCTTGCAGCCACAAGCTCTTTCAGCTGCTGTCAAACTTTCTTCTCACCTTGAAGTTTAGCTGTAAGGCAGTTCCTCTGAAGAGCCCAGCAACAGCAGCAAAGAGCAAAAGCACTGAAGCCCATCACTTCATAGTGCTTTGCTGAACTCTCTCAGAGATTTATATGAGACACTGGCATTTTTGCTGAAAGAATAATCAAAACTCCTCGAAGTGTTTAAGGAAAATATGGCAAGAATTTAAGTCTTGTGTTAGAAAAGTTGTTTGTGTCATTCCTGAAAGAATTTATTTATAAATAATGTTGTAGTACATTAACTTCTTGTGCACCCAGTCCTACCCGATCCTCTTTCTGGCTCTTGAAATGTTTAGATGGAAAATACAAATATATCTAATTATGCTTACTTATTGTCTGCCTCTTGCATTTACAAAGATGCAACCAGGTTTAGAGCTAAACTACAGCACTTGTTTAAAAATGTGCTGTTTCAGAGACTCTTACGTAGAATGTTTGAGTTCTGGGTTCTGCTTGAACTTTGTTTTTTTGTTCTCTTAAATTTTTCATTGCTATGTCATCAACATGGAGGAAAGATGCGTGAACAACCTTTTTAGGTCAGTGACATCTGTGTGCTCAGATCCTAGATCCACGTAGATGCAGGTGTGAGAACTGGACAGTACACTTCAGGAAAGGACTGCGTTTACCCTGGGATTGACTCAGCATTTTTAATATCTCCCTGTCCAACTCCACCAGTTGTCTCTGGAAGCCAGAATAATGTACTGCTAAATGTGATCAATGCTATTTGTATCCAACTTGTGGTAACAAAAAAACCCCAAACCAACACCCAAAAACCCCTGAAAATCATCAGGTCCTGGTAACATTTAGAATTACACCCATAACAAAGCCCTCACTGGTGGGACCTTCTGCTGATTGCACTGAATCAAATACAAAGTGTTGCACCAAGGGACGCACGGGCACTGCCACACTCCCTAGAGAGGTGACAAACGTAGCAGCCTGTTTCTTTCTGTGCTAATTGTGCAATCCCTTTGTCATCATCAAGGCAACTCTTGCCTGCTCTTGCAGCAATCTCTGCTAGTCCTCTTGCTTTTTGTGTGTGCCCTTGCTGCGACCCCAGGCTGCCCTGGGATCTGCTGTCCCTGCTGCTGATGGCAGGAGCTGGGTCGTGGGTGTCCCCAGGGACAGTGGCAGAGACAGGGGCTCTTTCACCTCTCGTACTTACACGCTCAGAGGTGTTAAACGAACAGTGATGCAGTGCCTCTTTCTGGATCTGTACACAGCCCCACGCTCATATATCACCTCTGCTGTCTGTCTGTAGGTTTTTCCATGATGTGCCTTTATCTTGGCAGTTTCATTTGATTCTCAGCGTCTGAAACACAAGGTTCATACATCAAAAGGGGATCCCACCCCCATCTGAGGGGTTATGTCCATAAATGGTATTTAGATTTATAAACCGAGTAAAGCGGTTGCTATTTTAAGGAGATGCTGCTGAAAGTCTGGCTCTGACCCTCTGCAACTAGGTCTAAATAATAATTTTTAAATGTTCCACAGTGGTGAATCTGTCACCTGCCAGCAGATCCTCTGCTCTGCAGCAACAGGGGCTCCAGGCAAAGGCAATGGCATTGCACCATTTTATGTTAGTCCGAAACACTCAGTAAGAATTTAAAAGTCAAAGCCTCTTAAATAATAAGAAAATAGGAATACGGGTTGGAGAGGAAAGTGAGGGTTATTAGCCTTGTATGTAGTAGCCTTTTGTGCTTTTGGAAGTCACATTTCAGTCTTTGTTCTGCAACCACAAATGCTATAAACATGTTTTTAAAAGAGAATTGAATTAATCGTATTAAACAACAGCTCCCATAACTGAGGGCTCTCATAAAGCAGAAAAGATTCCTTAAGTTGGAAATGCTGTCCAAGTGCAACGTGCTTTCAATTTACCTCTGGTTCTAAGTCTTAAACTTTCACTTTCCATTTTCCTTGCCCAAACCTTGTCAAATAATCTCACTACAGTGTATTGCTAAATCCCCAATTAATTAACATGCCACGATTGTGTTCTGCCACTGCCTGACGGCCCTACTTTTACTGCTCTGCTCAGGAAGCTGTGTCATGAGGGCGTGTAAGGGCCACCGCGCTGACACCCGCAGCTGCGCACGATGACATCTCCAAATGAATCAAAAGGGAAAGGCAGATTTCAATGTGCACATCCTGGGCTGCAGCAGTGACTGATGCGGAAAATATTAAGAAGTGGCATAATGAGTAGTGTATGTGGGAGTGCTGGGTGTACGTGGGGCTTCACTAAAAAAAGCCTTGTGCCGTCTGACACTTGTTTGAGTAAGTCTTAAGTCGACAGAGCGAGAACAAAGACTGCACCTAAGCTTTCTGGGCTGGCCTAAGTGAACAGCAAATCAAACAAGCAGGGAGCATCAGGTTTCTATTTTTAAACTGAAAGTTCCTTTTGGTTTTCTGCAGAACGGTGTGTGAGCAGTGAAAGGTGCACCTTTCTGTAATGTGTGTGATGATGGGGAGTCAATATGAGTCTGCTTCTGTTGGCTGGAAGTGTGGGAATGTGCACCACCGTGTAAGTATCGCCTTCGTGCCCACTGGGACATGCAGGGGAAGCGTAATCAGCTGCAGAGTTGTTAATAATCCTGGTGTGACTCGCAGCACAAGAGGTTATCAAGGCCCACTCTGTGGGTCAGGCTCTGGGTGCAGTGCAAACAGCTCCTCTGGGAACTATGCACGTAGGTTTAGCACTGTGTGCTATCAAGTATTCGACAGCTCTGAGTCACTTCTTAACCTTTCTCTCAACCACTTCAGTAGTTGGAAGTGATGAACAGTTTTGCCACCAAGCCCTGCCTCGCCACACACTCTCACCCCAAACCAACAGCTGATACTTGCGACAGCGAGGTGGAAGGAGGTGTAGGGAGCTGGCTGCTTTCTGTGCCAGAAATGCCACAGCTGGCATCCCGCTGGGGGTGAGGACATGTGGGCGAGAGGGTAGGATTGCAACATCCTAAATATAGATGGGAAGTCCCCAGTTACGCTGCTGTGGGACTACATTCCAGTCTCTGACAATAGCACATGATTTTCAGACCGCATTTTTGCAGCATAATGCCGGGTTTGCCTTTTTCTTAAGGGCCTTGCGCTGTGCTGTTCAAGCTCTGGGTGTGCGAGCAACTTTGGCATAATATAGAATATATCCCTGACATAAAGCTGGGCAAGTATTTTCATGTTGGAGTGTACGTGCTTGTCCGTGATACATAAGCTTGTCCTGGGCTCCTGCAGTGATAATGCAGAAAGAGAACTTCCAATCACACAGATTTCTTACTGTTTGTGAATGGCTGCTGGTTTTGCTCCTTCCTCTTCTGCAGAATTCAGCAACTGGCAGCACTGACTGTGTGTGCTCACAAGAGCATACAGGAGGGACAGGGAAAATGTGAAGCTCCTAAGTCCTAATTACAACCTCAGCAAAGTCTTGAGAAGCTTTCCAGCTTTGCTTTAACCCATTTGCTTTCCTAGATCTGCACGTTGACTGAACCCCTTAACTCTTAAGGATGCTCTGCACAGTGGCACAAATCTCTGCTCATTGCCTAACTCATCATGGCAAAGACAAGATGATCCCTCTCTGCTTGTGCTCTGGCTGCAAACCACTGCTTGGAGATTTCTCACAAGCGGGCCATCGGCTCTAATAAGCACTCAGCCTAATTTTATTTTTTTGCTTTTCATTTTTTTTTTAATTTTTATTTTTAATCTAGCTAGTCACATCTTAAAAGCTGTTGATACTTCCAGCCTCTGGGTGATCCAGAGTGTAATTACAGAGTGTGCAAGGACGTGTTCCCGCTTGTTTGTTTTAGATCTGCCTCCCAGCAGATGCAGTTGGGTGCCAGACACTTCCCGCATTGTGTGAAGCAAGGAGGGTTTGTTTTGCTTTTTTTTTWAAMYT